CTTAATTCGTGCGATTTATTAAGAGTATTTTATAAATAAAATTAGAGAGTTACACTTTAAAATATTTATATTACAGTTTTAAATTATTTGAAAAAAATAAAATTAAATATTTTAACTTGACTTCATAATTTGCAAATTTTTTGCTGGTGATTGTTGTTCAAGTCTTCAATCAAATAAATACTCCTTAAAACTCAATTTCATATTTAAAAGGTGAAGATATTTAAAAAAAAAGGAATTTTTTTAGAAAAGGAGCCATTCTTTTTTGTGATGATTGACATCAACTCACCAAGGAAAAAAAAAATAATGCTTCATGCTTTCACTGATAAGACATTTTTTAAAAATAATTTTTAATTTAAAATATAAAATATTTTATAATAATTAAATTACTTTTTTAATTGTATCTTTTTTTAATTAACGTAAATGTATTTAATATAATTATTTTATTAAAATTAAAGATAAAAATAAAAGTGTATCTCACTTTATTATAATATAAAAAAATTAAATTTTTTTAATATATATAAAACGATTGAAAATATCATATAATAAAAATTAGAGGAAGTACCTCATAAGTAACAAGCACATTTTTCATTGGCAAAGTAAAAAGATTGAAAAAGGGGTTTACAATTTAAATATCAGTTGTTCAATCAATTTATCAGACAAACAGCAATATCAATTATTAATTTATTAACTTTATTTATTAATTTATTAATATCAACTATTACCTTTAGAAGTAATTTATAACTGATATTAGTAAATTAATATATAAAGTTAATAAACTAACAATTGATGTTGCTACTTAATGAAATAAAAAAATTAATAGTTAATGATTATGTATCTCAAACAAAAATTAATAAGTAAAGGATATTTTAATTTTTTATCATTAAAATTATTTTCATTTCAGTCCTCTTAGACTGAACTAAAGTTTTAAATTTTTTTAAGACATACTAATTATTAAATCACTTTCTCGAATTTGGTTGAAATTCTTCCTAATGAAAAAATTAAAAAGAAAAAGATAATGATAAAAATTTGGAAAAATGGCATTATACATGACTTGTAGCCAACTAGACAATTATATGGTGAAAACTGAAATGAATGAAATACCAACTTAACCAGTTGCATCACACTTTAGAGGGATTTGTTACAATGATTTAGTTCGTGTTTGCTTTTTAATTATCTCAAGAAAATGAAGCTTCGTCATGAAACTATATTCAAAAGGGTAAAAATAAACTTTCACTAAATGTAACTCATGTTGGTTTATTTATTTATTTTTTGTTTTCACCAACTTGATAGGGTTGCGTTGAAGGATAGGCCAGTTGACTTACAAGACATTCACACAAAAACACCTTTTCTAAGATTTATTTTGAAGGTCAGATTATATAAAACTTTTTTTTTAGTTCATATATAAATAATCTCTTTAACTTTTGAAATTGCAAGAAAGAACTCCCAAAACTTTTTAGTTTACGCAAATAATCTCCATACTTTCAATTATCCCATTATTTCATTAAGGAGAACATGTCATTGATGAAATATTTCCTTAAATTTAATTTTTCTAAGCAAAAGACCTGCCACTGTGTATATATGCAAATACACCTCATGCTACGTTATACTCCCTTCATTTAAAAATATAAAATATTTTTAATTTATATTTTTATTTTTTTGAGATATAATTATGTTTTAAAAAAAAAGTGTCCCTATTAATGAATAACTTTATATTTATCATATAGTATTTAATAGGAGTAAATATAAAAAATAGAGTTAATTTAAAAATAGGTGAGTACTTTATTGAAGGGTAAAATTCTATTAAAAATACCTTATGTTTTTAAACAGAGAGAGTATAATATTATAGCAGTAAAATAGAGGCAAAAAAATATTAGCAAAACATGAAAAATTAACAAGACAGCTATTTGCATAAATATAATAGCTTTGGGCATTTATTGTAAAGTTCTAAAAATCAAGATTGTTACCAACATATAACCCTTTTGGCCAGTTTTTCACTAAAATGCATTTTGTCATATATTACACAAAATTTGAGGCTAATTATATTTTATAATTAATTTTATAACTATTATATTAGCAACACATCTATCTTCGTTATGAAATATTAATGTCGTTTGGACATTCTTAAAACTCAGAATGGTAAGCTGATAAGCGTCCTTTCTCTAAATAGACATTTTGCATTTTGTATTTCAGACCGAACATAGAACTAAATCAATGCTCCTTTGATCAGAGTAAGTTTTCCACGTTTGGGTTCATTTCGAATAACAAACAGAAATCAAAGAGCAAATGAGAATAAGATTGACAAAACAGAGCAGAAGTGTGTAGACAGAGCATTAATTCCTTGGTAGCATCTCTCCATTATTGATGTAGAAGCTGACATTACATTACAGTACAGAAGAAACAACATTATGCATTCTGAAATGGCCGTCTTTGTCAGCATGGTGCTACAGTAGGGTTGGAACTTAGAATCCAGAAAGAAAAATGAAGCGAAGAAAGAAATCAAAGAATCATAAGAAACTTTTGCCTCAAACCAGAAACTATCGTACTCTTGAAATGGCCAAATGGCGCCCTTTATGTAATGTACTGATGTGAAATGCCCAATTATATTCATCCCTGCTGTCAAACAATAATGGGCATGAACGTGCTGATAAGACAAGGTTCAGAGACAGAGAGAGAGAGAGAGAAAGAAGCCCTGACTTGAATTAATTCCGGTAAGCACTCTTTTTATTTCCTTGCATGATACAGTAAAGTTCCAAAATAAAAAAATAATTATAGTTAATTCGTCACAAAATTTTCAAATAAATGAAATGTAAATATTAATTCAAATAATTATAAATAAATATTTTAATTATAAACTAAAATTTTAATGTTTCATTTATAATTAGACTCTTAAATAACTTAATTTTAGAAAAATTTTATCAAGAATCTAAATGTTATTAATATTATTATTAGTTTTTTTTTTTCAACTCTTGCTATGTCAGCATGATATTAGGGTAAAGTTACTTTCTTCTCCCTAATAATGGAAAGGCTATAAAAACCCATGCAAAAGATGAAAACACTCTACTTGTCCAGATTCAATAACGTCCTACAAATTCAAAGGAGTATCAGTAAAACACAATATTAACATTGAGATGATGAGCACACTTGACGAGCTAACAAGCACATTCATGGGCATGAGTTAAGAGTTTCTTTTCACAGCATGAAGATATTAGATACGGCCCCTACTCATGCTACATGCATTGAGTGCAAAGAATCATAATCGATTACTCTAAATTTTACTTGGTACAGCTTGCATCTTGGCATCATGGAGGCCAGAGTAGACCTGGTCCAGCTTTGAGAGCTACGAGATCTCTCAGTTAAGCATATAGCTCGAGTTTTCTCATATTGTTCAATTAGAGCATAAAAATAGAGGAAAAGAATGAAATAAACAGAAGTGACAATTGTTACTCCCTCCATTAAAAAAAAAAATGTGAGGCATTTTTTAAAAAATTAAATATTCAAAAATATAAGGTATTTTTAATCTCTTGAAATGTAATCATCATACTTTTTAAAAAAATACCCTATTAATAGTGACTTTATATTTATTATAGAGTGTTTAATAAAAGTAAATATGAAAAGATAGAATTAATTTAAAAGTAAGTAACTACTTTATTGAAATGTGAGATTCAATTAAAAATGTATTACATTTTTGAATGAACAGAGTATATTTTTTCTTTTTTTTTTTTGGAAAAAATAGTACAAAATAGATAGATACTTCACTGTATAATACTCCCCTCGTTCAAAAATGCAAAACTTTTTTTGAAAAGTTAAATGTTAAAAAATGTAAGACATTTTTAATTTTTCAAAGTGTAATTATTATTTTTTTAAAAGTATCCCTATTAATAATAACTTTATATTTATTGTAAGGTGTTTAATAAAAATAAATATAAAAAAATAAAATTAGTTAAAAAGTAAATAATTATTTTATTAAAAATAAAATTTAATTAAATACATTTCATATTTTTAAACAGAGAGAATATTACTTTTTTCCCCTCCATTTCCATTGAGGAATCAGGTTACAAATCTTGTTGCTGCGATAATTTCTTGTGATGACAAAGTGGCAACGATCCTACTGTCACCATATCGCCATCACAGCCTACGCTGCAACGAGTCAAGGGAGCTATTCATTAGATAATCTAATAGCATCCATCATTTCTGGACAAATAAACCTACAAAGCCTCCTGGAAGGCTACAATTAACACCTGTAAACAGGTACAGCTCCAGGATTCTAATTTCTTCGAGCATTAGCAGTCTAGACAAAATCAGCTGCAAATTATTTGACCATCTCGTGTCTAAAAGTTATTTAGAAAGAACTTTATTTAAATAAATAACATTACCCGCTCGAATAGTGATTTTCATTTTCGAACCTACCATAAGCCCATTATGATTAAGCCACTTGATGTTATTTCTGCCACTTCCAAATTTATCCCATTGTATAACCTTTCCAGCATGCATCAATCACAATTTAATTGATGCCAAAACTAAACTGAATAAATTACCTACAATCCTGTGACCTTTGACACATTCCCACCATACAACAAGATTTGGATGGTAAACAGAAAGATAAGCTCTTCACTTCCCATGATGTTTTCCTATTTAACCTTTAACAAATTTAATGTTCTTTCCTCAACAAGGCAATTAAAAATTTGAAGGAAACTATGCATATAATCACCTCAATCTAGACTAGCACATATTTGCCGAAAGAATGGCCATTATTAACTTCATTTAATATAGTATTAAAGTAGCATATAAGAATTTCTTTCAAATTATTTCAACAAACTTTCCAGGTCACTCGAACTAAGCACATGAACTAAGAAGCACTTAATATATTAGGCTTCACTTGAGCGATGACAGCAAACCTTGCTTTTTGATATTAATAAAATAATAATAATAATAATAAAATAACACCAATAACAACAACGATTCAGTCTAGAACAAGCTGTACACAAAAAATTGTGCATGTATTTAAAAACTTATATGAACAAGGCATGGTATATATGGTTAAATTATGCTTTCAGCATCATACAGGCAAAGGCATCTAACCTTACCATAAGAATTTAATTCTGCTAAGCAGGCTCACCAAAAAAGAATTCTTGCACCATGTGGATTGATCAAATACCCGTAATCACGCGGATTGATCAAATACCTATTAACCCAGTCCCAAACTCTATAGTGGCTACAATGCTGCAATTAGCATGCAAGCAATGTCTCAGTGTAGCAAAATATATTGTGAACAAAAACAACCTCAACAACAGTACAACACTATGCTTTCAGTACTGTTGACATGAGGGTGCAAAGCTCCAAAGGCCATATGCAGATCAGCAGGCTTGCTTTTGCAACAATCAAGCACAGGAAAAAGCCAATGAAGCAGAAACTATCAACAAAGGCCTATTACTATAGTAATCTTGTTCAATTGTCGAAACCTGGCATTGCAAATTGAGTTGCAAATGATTCAACCCGGGAACGGAGCTCTATGATATCCTTATTACCCTCAAGATGCTTCAACACAGCCTGCATCTTCCCATGCTCTCTCTGCAGTATGTTTGCAATTTGTGCAGCTCTAAAAAGAAATTCAGCCATTGTCTCGAAATCAGCCTCCAGACACCCTCTTGATGTCATGGCAGGGGTACCTGAGAAACACCACATTGGAAGCAGTCATCAGAATGTAGAATTCATCAAATATGCAAGCACAATTAGACATCTTAGATTATCACATACCAATCCGTACACCTCCAGGAGTAATGGTACCATTGTCATCAAAAACAAAAATTTTGTTCAAAGTAATATGACATGCCTCACAGATCTTCTCATAGTATTTTCCTGTGAACAGAAGTAAAAGAAACTTAGCGCTTGTCAGGATTTACAAACACAGAACAATCATAATTCCTGTAGCTGTCCAACTAAAGCAGAAACATATCAAATGACACAAGCAACAAAGTGGTTAAACAATAAACTAGCTTATGAAAGTCCAATAACACATTGACATATGAAGCCAAACGCAACTAATGTTCAGGGATCCTAAGTCTTTGTCACGGTTGGAATCAGGCATCAGTTAACATGATAGATGTAGCATCAAATAACAGTGTTATCAGTTAACATGATAGATGTAGCATCAAATAATCTTGAAGCATGACCGCGTGAGTCTTCCACAGCTGAGGGGAAAAAATATGACATGCCTGTTAAAGAGAGATAGCAAGACAGATGCAGCTGACAGACTCTTTCATGTGTTTCTGCAGGCATTACAAGTCTTACAAAGCTTTTCACCCTCTTTTCAGATTTCAGACAAAACAGACAAGGTTCTATCGTTTTTCTAGTCAACTTTATGCCAGATTCTGCATTGTAATTACTACCAACACTGATTTGATAACTTATGTGAACTTTCAAGGCCCCCATTCAGTTTGATGTCACAAAACGAATTAGTTCCTCAATCCTCATATAGCCAATGTGACTATCCGTTCTCTATTACAAACTCAAACTCCACCCTAATGTATATTCCAGTTTAATTTTCACTCCAAATCTCAAATTCCATTTCACATCAGGAAATATGCCCTTCAGCCCCTCCACCTATATTTTTTTTTAACATCGTGATTAAATTCATGAGTTAATTTGCATTGAATTATTATATTTTTTTGATTATCAATGGCTACACCAATTGCTTAAGAATTTGTTCATTCTTTTTTTAAAATGGTCATTTCAGTTCAGTTAGGCACTCAATCCACCTCACTGCCTCTGCCTTTTAGGGATTCAGCACCACAAGTCAACTCATGTTTTTGATTCTTGACATCCCTGAATATTATATAACTTTCCAGAAAATGAATGTATTGTACATGTAGGAAGAATTACTAAAGCTCCAAAAACAATACTCCTGGCACGATACATTTTTAGATAAAATGAAGACAGATTAGGGTCATGGTCACCAGAATTCAATTAAATGTAAGCCATTTTGTAACATACAATGCCAACCAGGGATCTATTCAAAATGGTTGATCCCATTAATATATGCAACAAAAGGCCAGATAACCATGGTTCAAGGAAGGGTCCTAATGTACCTAGGTTTCATCCCTTACTCGCTCCTTTCCCCATTTCCAACTCTTAAGTCCTTGTACTTCCTTTATAACCCCAAAAAAATTAGCAGAAGGCAGAAAACGTGATACATCACAGTTACTTCAAAGTTCAAATACAGATCAACATTCGGCTTGTGGATAGCAATCGCAGAAGGTATGGATACAATAGGCAGAGCAAAATTAAGCACCTACTGCAGGCTCCTTCTACCTTCAAGCTGAAGGAAAGACCATTTGAAGATATGCAGTTTTTAGAAAACTGTCTATATGCGAATATACTAATTTTCATAAAGAAGTGCAACATCAAAGAATATGTATCAACAAGTGAACTAAATAAAACCTTCATGCAAACCCACAACCAGCATAAAATTCAAAAACTAAACATCAAATACATAGCTTTAAAACAGCTTCAGCATAAAATCATATGCCAAAAATGCATTACATTAAGATTTGTGCTATGGTAGAATCCGACCCTAACAGTGAACTAAAACATAACTGAAGCCAAGTGCAGACAAATTACCCAAGAGAGGAGTCTAAAGAACTTGTTCATATCATTACACAAAGAAATAAGCCTTTTGAAAAGGCCATCTAAAGATGCATGTACCAATTATACAATACCTGTCAAGCCCAGAGGCCTCAAATCCCAAAGTAATAGATGGTTGTCAGTACCCCCAGTCACAAGACGACAATTTCTCCTGAATAAAGCAGATGCTAGAGCTTGGGCATTCTTCTTCACCTGTTGCATGTATGCCTTATACTCAGGTGCAGCCACTTGTTTTAAAGCTATAGCTAGAGCTGCAATATGGTTATTGTGTGGTCCCCCTTGTAATGATGGAAAGACAGAAAAATTTATCTTGTCCTCAAAGTCATATTGATCACTGTCATGTCCCTGGCTCCCTCTCCTCCTTGGTTTGGTACCTTTTCTATAAAAAATTATGCCTCCCCTAGGACCACGAAGGCTTTTGTGAGTCGTTGAAGTAACAACATCACAACAATCAAAAGGATTCGCACATTCCTGGAAAGACAACAAAACCAATGAAACAGAAAATTAGTCCAAAGATGACTCAAGTGCATCAATTACTATCTAATGATGCAAGAGATGATAATTGACTCAAACCAGCCCCATCCGCAATTATCAGTTGGCGAAATCTAATTCAAATAGACGCTGATATTAAGTTTAAAAGCTAAGAGACACTTAAACAAAATAACAATATAAAGGAGCAGGAACAGCGTAAAATGAAGACAAGTATTGCAAATGTCATTTACTCGCAAGTTTAAACATAACAAGAAATTTCACATGGTAGGCAACCATATGCAATGCACTGCAAAATTTCTATAACTATCTACGCAGGAGAAGTTATTTCGCACCTTGGCTGCAATTAGCCCACTTATCTGAGCCATATCACACATTAAAATAGCTCCACATTTGTCAGCAATATGCCTAAACCTAGCATAATCCCATTCTCGAGGATAAGAGCTGCCACCACAAATTAGAATCTTCGGACGAAAATCAAGTGCCCTTTCCTCAAGCTTATCAAAATCAATATATCCCGTTTGTGGGTTCACCTTGTACGGCAAGCTCTCAAAGAATATCGACGCCCCCGAAACTTTCTTCCCACTTGGAGTGTAGTACCCATGACTAGTATTTCCTCCAGATGGTGTATCCAGCCCCATGATACGATCACCAGGCAACAGCAGTCCCGTGTATACAGCAAAATTAGCCGAGGTACATGAATAAGGTTGGACATTGACACCCCAACTTTCGGGGTCGAGTTGAAATGCGGCCAAGGCACGTTCACAACAGAGCGTTTCAATTTCGTCAATATATTGATTCCCTCCATAATACCGCGCCCCCGGCATTCCCTCGGAGTATTTGTTCGTCAAGTGGCTTCCAAGAGCTTCCATCACAGCCTGACACACAAAATTTTCAGAAGCTATCAACTCAATCCCTTTATACTGTCTTTGCTTCTCCTTCTCCATTATCGCATAGATATCAGGATCCGCCACTTGTAGGGGTTGGTTACCCCATGATCGGACAGCAGCTCTCCGCGTCTCAAGATCTGGTTCGACCGAAATCCTCTTGGAATTTGAAGAAGACGATGATGATTCGCTATCTCTTCGCCTCTTCAAGCACATTGAGTGACCAAGAATTCGAAATTCCTCTACTTCTCTATCATCGTCTTCATCAGATTCTACCCCCAAATTCCCATTCTCTGCTCTCTGATTCTCCGAGTGCGGCTCCAACAATTGAAGCGGAACCGGAGGAACCGGGTGCATAGGATCACGGAAGCTCGAGTCGAGCTGGAGCGAAATTGAGTCGTCAGCCATCCGGACTCGGTGAGACGTCGAAGCATGAGAAGAAACCCCAAGAGACAAGTTGGATTGAGAGTGGGGTAAGTCCATCAAGAATGGCAAAATAAAACAAATCACTGAGACTCGATCGGTAAAATCTGCAAGTCGATGCCACAGATGTTTGTACGGTAAACACTAGGTGCAACAGTGACCAAATCAAAAATGGTGACAAGAGAGTCTAAAGAAAGTGCAGTGACAGTGCTTGAAAATGGTCTCTAATTCTAAGCAGCACGAAGAATGCGTCATGGAATGTCGCAGGAAAAGGAAAAGGGGAAACAAGCCCTAGCCCTAATCCAATCAGTTGTCGAATTCAATGAATGACCTTATGACCACTCTTGAAGCGGACAAGTGGGTAATGCCGTAATGGGGAGGGGGGGATGGACCTGGACAATTTTTTATTATCTTCACGCAGGGAAGATCAGCAAAACAAAATATTCTTCAATAAATTCCTGATATTTTATGCGCTGGTTCAAGAATGTAATACTACATTTTTTTAAAAAAATAAAATATTAAAATATAATATATTTTTAATATTTTAATATGTAATTGTTTTATTTTTTTAATTATCTATAATAAATAAATTATTTTATATTTATTTTAAATAAAATATTGAATTAAATAAGAATTAATATAAAAATAATATTAATTTAAATATAGATAAAATTTAATTAAAACTACCTTACATTTTTAAATGAAAAAATATATTAATAATTTTTTTAAATGTTTTCATTGGCCCAAGGTCATTTGGTTTTTAATTTGACTAGAATTTATTTATCAAAAATCTTTTGAAAATTAAATATAAATAACATAAGATTTTGGGGAATTTGGGAATAATGGCCATGAGGCTCAAACAATTAGGCAAAGTCCTAAAAATTCATTAAAACATTTCATCTGTTCCTGGTCCGTTGATGTCAATATCTCCAAAAACAAAAAAGACAAAAACACTCCTTAAATGACTCGATGATATTGAGTTGGATTTTTTACAAAAAAAAAAATGCATCATTTTATTATCGAAATTTACATGTTTGGTTAGCTTTCAAAATATAATTACCAAGTTTTTCGAGAAAAATAATTAACTTTAGAGTTTGATGTACTGAACTTTGAATTTTCAGAAAATTAACCAAAACAAAGTCAGGTGCGTCAGGCTTTCATATTAATTATTTTTTCTTAAAAACATGTTATCTTAATCTGAAAATTAACCAAGCATGTAAATTTTTCAGGAAAAAATGGTACATTCTGCTTGAAAAAACAGAATCAGGTACATCAAGCTCTTGGGTTAATTATTTTTTTTTCCTCAAAACTTGTTATCCTATTCTGAAAATTAACCAAACATGTAAATTTTTTAAAATAACATAGTATAGAAAATTTGGTTTCGTGAAAAAACATAATCATTGATCTTGATATTTTTATTGAATTTTGTTTTTAATTTTTATAATTTTTTTTACTATTGTCAGTCTCTATGTCATTGAAACTATAAAGATTTGAGTAACAAATGTCACCCAAACTTGATAAAATTATAGAGATTAAAAATATTAAAAAATTACAAAGATTAAAAGTAAAACTCGATTAAATTATAAAGATCCATGATTATGTTTTTCTTAAAAAAAAAATCCAACCCAGCATCATCAAATTACTTAAAGGACATTTGTGCCTTTCTGCTTTTAGAGATATTGACACCATTGGACCAAAAATGAGTAGAATGTTGCTTTGAAACTTTTGCCCAATTATTTAGGCCTCCCGGTCCTTCTCCCCTACCTGTCCTAAAATGTTCAACTCCCTTGTTAATCCTCCAACCCTACATTTCAGATGCAAAAGTTACTATTGAATGTGTCGGAAATGTCCTTTTAGGGTTCCTCAAATCCCTTTCAATATGGCATACTAGTATTCAATAACCAAATAATATTAACAAAAATAAATCTACCCAAATGTACTCTTGAGACTCCAAAAACCCTGTCCAAACACATAGTAAGAATTTGTTGGAGAGGACATTTGTTTCTTAATAGAAATAGAATATCATCATTCATAACTCATAAATAAAATTGAAGTAGTACACATTATCAAAGAGTTGAAGTGGCTGTTCAATGTTGGCAACAAGGGAGGAGATAAATAGAGAGAAACAATTTAATATGTTGTGGGGGTAATTGAACATTTCAAGACATCTTCTTCAACTCTTTTAAGTAATCCATGAGAAGTCCTAAATACAGAGACACACTCAATTCTATTTTTTTTTTTAAAGCAAGAAATGAGTATTCTCTTCTCTCTGATCCCACAAGAAACTTAATTTGCTATCATGTTCAACAAATTTGTGTTAATTTTATTCCCAGCTACTATATGATATTCCAATGTTCCCTAGGAGGAACGCACCCATCCCTTTTCCTCTTGAATTGATGCACGAAAATCCATGCAAGAAGACAATAAAATTAATTCGCGCCAGAAATCAACAAGCGTTTATATTTTAAGGTGGAAAGCTAAGTCTAAAATAGTAATAATATTATAAGAGTCGTGATACATCTAATGGACTAGCCACTGCATTTATTAACATATTTAAAACATGGTTGGAGGTATCAGTCTAGGTTTTACAAAGCAAAATCTCTAATGCAGTGTAGAGGAGATGATTCAAAGAGAACTCGTTCTTGATAAATGTGAAAGCCCCCATCATTCATTTGCGTGCTATTCTCCAAATTTCCATCATGAGGATGGGGGCAACATAAAGTAAGAAAAGTCGGGGGCATTTTGGAGTACAGGAAGCCAAAAAAGTATTTAAGGCATAAAAAAGTTTTTAATTAAATTAAAATAAAAATAAAAATAAATTTTAAAAGTGTGTTTGGTATGAAGATATAATTTTAATATAATTTTAATTAATATATATACTTAAAAAAAAGGTCCCAATTGCCCTTTTTTCTCAAATTTAAAAAGACCTCTCTTATTAGTAGACAAAAAAGAGGAGGATAGTGGGGCCACAAAATGAATGTAAGACAATTTAATCAATTTTATGGTCATTATGATGGAATTTAATTCTAACATTTTTAGTAGAATCAGAATTCATAAGCATTGCAACTCTTACATACCAAATATTCTTAGATTAGGATTCTCTCTTTGATTCCATGTCCACCTTACCAATTTTATTATATCAAACATTGCCTAAAGAATTGAAAAAATGACAATTTAAGAACTAAAAAATTAATATCAAATGAGGACCTTAGCACTGTTTTATTTCATATTTAATGCTAATCCTCTTTGCTATTGCCTGATGCATGATAGTACCATAGACTTGTATTCAAGTATTAAATCAAACTACTTTTAACATTAGTTACTTATTTACATAATTACACTTACTAAAATGACATAAAGTAAACTTCAAATAAACATCACACGATCGTATAAAACTAATAGGCTAAATAATAAACTTGTCCCTAAATTATATATCCAAGAATGCTTGAAACTCTAAACTTTTTTTTAGTATAATATTTTCCTTTAACATTTCAAAATGATAGTGTAATATTTTCCTTTAACATTTTAAAATGATACAATATTGCTTATACTGTTAATAAATATTAACTTTAACCATTATTTGACCAAAAAACCTATAAAAATGGTATCAAAATTCACAAAAAAAGATCCAGAAATCTTTCCATCCTTTTGTTGTAATTTTGAAGTTATTGTTTGTAATTTTGGAGTCTTTTCTTTATTTTTTTAGTTAACTAATAATTAAAGTTAACATTTATTAATAATGCAAGCAACATTATATCGTATTCAAAAGTTAAAAAAAATATTGTATTAAAAATAAGTTTAAGATTTTATAAGAATTTGAACCTACAGTTTAAAAGTAAAATTAACGTTTTACCTCAAATTAATTTAACAAAATAACAAATTCACTTCTGTAATTTCTTTGTCCTAATCTATAAAGCATTTTTTTCTCATAAAATTAGCATACTAATGAATTTCATTATATACAATTTACAATCTTAAATTTTAAATGCTTGAAACTTTAAACTTTTTTTTGGTGTAATATTTTCCTTTAACACTTCAAAATGATATAATATTGCTTATACCATTAATAAATATTAACTTTAACCATTATTTGACCAAAAAATTATAGAAAATAGTATCAAAATTCACAAAAAAAGGATCAAGAAATCTTTCCATCCTTTTCTATAATTTTGGAGTCTTTTCTTTATTTTTTTTAGTTAACTAATAATCAAAGTTAACATTTATTAATAGTACAAGCAACATTATATCATATTCAAAGGTTAAAGAAAATATTGTATTAAAATAAGTTTAAGATTTTATAAAAATTTGAGCCTACAGTTTGAGAGTAAAATTAACCTTTTACCTCAAATTAATTTAACAAAATAACAAATTCACTTCTGTAATTTCTTGTCCCAATTTATAAAGAATTTTTTTTTTATAAAATTAGCATACTAATGAATTTCATTATATGCAATTTACAATTTTAAATTTTATGTGAACTTTCAAAATTATCTTTCATTAATAAGAGAGCGGGAAGATAATTAATTTAATGAGTGAAATAATGAGAGATAATATTAGAATAATTATTATTAGTTAAATCTTATTTTTTTTAAATATCTTATATTTTAAAACATTAAATTACTTTAAGAAAATGTCTTATAAAATGAGATGGGGGAATAGTTTGGAGGTAATGCTGCTTCCATATAATTGAAATCCTAACCTTATTTTTTTTTTTCCATAAAAACCTCTAACTCCTAACCTTATTTGAAGTAACCATTTTTTTATAAACAATAATTTAAATGAGTTAAGTCTCATAAACTTATTAGGATCCAAACATGTTTTTAGGCTTAAAGAATACTTATAGAATTATTTATAAATTGTTTATCAATAAAGATTTTACATTAATAATAAAATTTAATTTTATGATTTTATAAATTATAGACTGAATTCTTATCAATTGTATTAATTTTAATTAATAAAGTATCTATTCCAATTAACAGTATGAATGCTAATAACTTTTGAAAGTCTTCTTTCTACTTCTAACGCATACTTCTTAGTTCGTAACAAATAACAAGGCCCTTGATGGTCACTCTCCCTTTTAGATACTAAGCAGCGGACCGTTGAGGCCGATGCATACGTGGCCGACGCCTTCCCGAAATCTCGTCTTGGTTAAGTGTCATTTTAGAATTTCGTTTGATTCGAATCTTCTTGCCCATTGTCCCCATTTTCTTTCACCTCATCACATGCTCCCTTGCCTTCTCTGAACTTAACGTAGAAGCTCCCAGAAGTGAATCGAATCTTCGCAAACTTTCCCATCTGAATCGCACCAAATCCCTCATACGCACACATTTTTCCGGGCAATTTTACTTCACCGTGTTGGCATTTTTTTTTCCCTTGATTTATATATACTTCTCTTCATCTTATTCGCAAAATTTCTTTATATAACCGTTGATTCATAAGTACACGCGCATACGACGTCCTAACTTTAACGTATGGCTGCCGGAGTGGAGCTGCCGATGCGGAGAGCCGGTGGTGGTGGAATTGCAATGGAGTTTCCGGCTGGAGATGAGGAGGTGGTGCAGTCACCGCCGAGGCTGCCGAAGAGGCTCCGTCGAAGGCTTCTTGATGTGGATAAGTCCCCTAGTACAATTGAGGAAATCGAAGCCAAGCTACGTGATGCCGATCTGCGCAGACAGGTGTCTCATCTTTTCCAATATGAATAATTTGTTTGGTTGATGAGAGAGTTTAGGAAACTTAAAAGTCTAAAACTGAAATTTTAACTTTGAATTCTTTTAATTTATGTTTTGTTATTTGTTTTTCTGGTCAATTATTTTTACACTTATATATGTATTAAATTCTTCTGGAAGAATGTTGGATCTTTTTTATATCTTCTCCTTTTGGAAAATTTATTGACATCAAATACTCGCATTCTTAACAATTTTTCTTTTCGTTTCATCGGCTGTCAAAAATGTTGCTGGCAACTCGTTTGTTTGCTATCAGTGAGAATTATAAGGAAAGTTCTTATGTGTTCTCTCATGATTTTATTTTTCCATCTTCATTGCTTTATCACTAAGTTATTTCAATGTTAGGTGGGATGCAATAGGGTGCTTATTCTGTTGGTAATTTGGTCTGAACTTCTTGGTGATACTCTTTACACGTGCTTCTCTCTTGCAATTTATCATTGCCTTTGTTTCTGTTTAATTTCATGGGCAAGCTTTTAACTTTTTGTTCTCCTATTGGCATTCAAATAACTTTAGTACTGGTGTGGTATGTCTTGGTTTCTGCCCTCAACAATAGTTCTTTTCTAACTCCCCTTTTTTAATCAACATTGCCTCTCTGTTATACTTTATTCTTCACGCTATTTTTGCTTTCACTCTGCAGTCATTTTTATAAATCTTCAGCCTTTACTTTGAAAATTTTGATATTTCATTGAATTTTGAATTTATATGCATGTTTGGGTGTTTAGAAGATTCATGATTCTATATTGTTTTCCTTTCTCTTTCTCTTTGTTTTTTAAATTGCCTTTGGGGTGACTGTTTAATTCTTCTTCTTCTTTTTCCAGAAATATTATGAGAAGCTCTCAAACAAGGCACGCTCCAAGCCAAGAAGCTTCATGAGCTCTTCCTTTCAAGAGGAAGACCGTGGGTTACGCCTAGAAGCAAAGTTGCAAGCTGCTGAGCAGAAGAGGTGGGTTCTGAATGTTGGACAATTTCTTTCTTTCCTTTTTTCCTTCTTAAATTATGAGTGGTTTATTATTTATATACACATGGGCAGCTAAAGTCTTTGCTGACGAGCTAAGGCAGTAGTCTTATTGTCCAGTCCTATTCTCTTGGGCAAATTGAGATTACCATGTTTTAAGTCTTTGTTGAGCTTTAGAAGTGGTAAAAAGAACCGTTTTATAAATGATATCTTAATTTGGTTACTTTAAGGTTTTTTTTCTTTTGAGCCATCAGAGCAGTATAGTACCGTTATGTTGCTTTTGAATATATTTATAAAAAGTTCTCTTCCATTCATAATTCATAAATAGTCAACATCAATCCCTTTCTTTATCATCTGACTTATGCTATATTTGCATGATTTGCTCATAATTTAATGCCTAATTGGCAGGCTGAGCATTTTGGCAAAGGCTCAAATGCGCTTAGCAAGGTTCGATGAATTAAGGCAAGCTGCCAAAATTTGTTGCGAGGATGAGCGTGTCAAGTGTAGGGCAAAGGTAGAATCATGTGTTCAGCAGGCTGAGGCAAATAGGATGCTTTTGCTTAAGGCTTGCAAACAAAGAAGGGCCAGCCATAGAGAAAGGTATGCTCAATCATTGTGGCAAAGAATAGTTCGGGAGGAGCATGTGCGTGCTGCAATTCACCAAAAGAGAGCTACTGCTGAAATTAAACGCCTTGGGTTGCTGGAAGCTGAGAAGAAGAGGGCACATGCTCGATTATTGCAGGTGAGACATATAGTTAAGTCTGTATCACAGCAGCGTGAGATGGAGAGAAGGAAAAAGAACGATCAATTGGAAGATCGAATACAAAAGGTATGCAGTTTTCTTGAGGTGATTTGTGCAATTCTCCATCCTAAAATTTTCCTATCTCGCTCAGGTGCCTTTGCAACATGACAAATGTCTTATGGAATTTCATGTTCTGATTAGGCAAGGAGACAGAGAGCAGAATACCTCAGGCAGAGGGGCAGGTTGCATGGTAATGCGCAAGAAAATTGGGATAGAATGCCCACGGAAGCTGAACTTCTCTCTGAAAAAGTGGCAAGGTTATTTGAATTTAAGAAATTAGTTTATAGTTGTTGCTTTGTTTCTTCTAGCAACTGTCGCTTTACTAATTTGTCTTTGAGTCACTGAGGCTAAATTATAGCATTATATGCTAAATTTACTATTTGAAGACATTTTCTGCTATCTTCCACTGCTTTACTTGTTCTATGTTGAGTAATTCTGAAGGAGGGCCTAAATTAAGCTACAAATTTGCGTATGCTAGCTTTGATCTCTTGCAGGAAAAAGATGTATTTAGTTATGTTGAATTTTTTCTTGGTTGTATCCTATTCACAGGATGCTATGGTGCTATACTTGTTTTATTTTTTGGATTTGTAAATATTATTGTGAACAATTTGCTAAGCTCATTTCTTTTAGGTGCTGGAGGAGGTTTGTAAGGTTGCAGAGAACAACTCTTACTTTGGCAAAGGCTTTTAGTTCATTGGGGATTGATGAGAAATCTGCCAAGTCAATGCCTTTTGAGCAGATTGCCCTTCTTATTGAATCTCCTTCTACTCTTCAAGTTGTGAAATCTTTACTTGGCCGGATTGAGAGCCGCCTAAAAGTGTCTAGAGCTGTAAATCCCGCTAATTGTTTGTCTAGTTTGGAAAACATTGATCACCTTCTTAAACTGGTTGCAACCCCCAAGAAAAGTGTTACTTCCAGGAGTTCTTTGAAAAGCAGGGAAGCTAAGATAGTAGGTTCAGTCAGGCAGTCAAATAGGGGCCTCGACAGGTTGCCGAGGTATTTGGTGAGAGTTGTTCTTTGTGCTTATATGATATTGGGTCACCCGGATGCCATTTTCAGTGTAATGGGAGAACGTGAAAGTGCTCTTGCTAAATCTGCTGAAGCATTTGTCCAAATGTTTGAGTTGTTGATAAAAATTATATTGGAGGGGCCAATGCAGTGTTCTGATGTTCATCCTGACTCAATAGCCTCAAAACGTTGTACCTTTAGGTCTCAGCTCGCTGATTTTGATAAAGCATGGTGCTCGTACTTAAGTTGTTTTGTGATTTGGAAGGTCAAGGATGCTCAATTACTGGAGGAGGATTTGGTTAAAGCAGTTTGCCAGCTTGAGGCTTCTATGATTCAAACTTGCAAGTTAACTCCAGAAGGAGATAGTCATCCGCTGAGTCATGATGATATGAAATCTAGTCAGCATCAGGTGAATTCTTCTGGGCCAAGAGCTATGCAGTCTCTTAGACTTTTTTTGTTATAGTATCACCAGACCTGAATGATTAAAGGACTTATATATTGAAGAATGTTCTAAAGAATTTGACTTGTTAAGTGAGCAAATTTCCTGCCCATCCCCCCAAGGGGCCTTACACCAGTCAATTGGGATTTTTTGCTTTTAACTGCTTTCTTATTATTGCATCCCAATTCTGGTCAATCACTTTTATATCTTTATTGAGTAGAAGCATTTTGTAGGTAGTTATTTCGAGTTCATATAATAGCTTTTCAATTTTTATGCAGTTTGCTGAAAGTCAAAGACTTTTGAAAGAAATGGTACAGCACCTGAGTGGAAATGCTGGGATTGAGCATATGGAAGGGGCACTATCTGAAACGAGGTCTAGATACCTTAGAGTGAACGAGAATGGAAGCCCGTTGGGGTTACCAATGACTCTGTCCTTTGCTCTGAGTCAAAGCAAAACTAACTTCTCTCCTGTTCTTTCCATGGTTTCTAGCTCAAGTGAGAGTGGCATCCCAGTTGAGAGTAACCAAATTAGAAGCCATGTAGTTCGCTCCCTATTCAAGAATGCCACTACTTCCTCTCCTGGGGGTTCCATCATCTCTGAACTTAGTATCGGTTCTGATGGTCAATTGGGTTCTTCCATTAAAAAGTTGTTTGCAGAGAATGAAGTTCTTGTAAATGAATTTCTCCACCATCATCGCTGTAGTTTCTCTGTTGGTTGGGGTGATGCTGATTTCAACCCAAGCAGCATTGAGGTTAGTTCACTTTTGTACAATAGTTATTGTCAAGTTGATGGCTGGTATGGGACGATTTAATGATTCTGGCCTTTGATTGACTTGCTCACTTTTATAAATTTAGGGGAAAATAAAAGAGACAATGGAGAAGGCTTTTTGGGATTGCATCATGGAATCTGTTAAGCAGGACCAGCCCAACTATGATCAAGTTGTTCAACTCATGAGGGAGGTTAGGGATGAAATTTGTGAGATGGCCCCACAAAGCTGGAAAGAGGACATTTTTGCAGCAATTGATGTGGAAATTTTTTCTCAGGTGAGAATACATCCCATTTTCAGCCTGCTATGATTGTTTGATTCGATTCATAATAACTTCCTTCCCTGATGTATTTTTATTCTGCCTATCTGAAGGTGCTGAAATCGGGCAACTTGGATGTTGATTACCTTGGAAAGATTCTAGAATTTTCTCTGATCACTTTGCAGAAGCTCTCAGCTCCAGTCAATGAGGAAAAAATGAAGGGCGCACGACAGAGATTATTTTCAGAGTTGACTGAAATATGTCAATCCAGAGATGAGTCAAACTATCCATGTGTTATGGCCATGATCACGGGTTTACGATTTGTCCTGGAACAGATTCAGGTGTGTTTGTGTACCTGTATTTCTCTTAGAAGACTCTTACTGAATTTTGAATCAAGTTTTTCCTTTAGCCTGATACTAATGTTAATGCAAATGAAGGCATGGTTTTTAACCCTCTTGCTTTTTTTGAATCTGGATTATATACAAAAGTTTTAAGAAATACTTTCATCTGTAGATTCTGTTTGATCTCTTGTTCCTGAATTTGGATAAGCAAAGAGGGTTGTTTCTGATCTAACAAATTCTCTTGACTTATTAATAGAATTGTTTTCAAGTGTGGATTTTTAAGTGCACATTGAATTACTTGAGATTTGTCATATTACCTAACTTCATGGACAAGCTTAAACTTTGCTTTAGTAATGCTTGTAGACTTACTCTTAAGGAAAGTGCACAGGCATAAACACACCCTAGCTTATGTTTGTGGCTTTGTGTCTAATTGGCTTACAATAGAATTGGATCCTCTCCATAATTTCTTTCTAAATTTTTTCTCCACGCATGATGAGGAACATCTGTTCATCGGTAGACTTAGGAAGAGGATGATAACTCATTGAAAGAGCATTCAAGCTTTCTTAAGCATGATTTCATACCTAATATATGCTTTGTTGCAAGTTCTCTGTAACAAATTTCCTGGCACTCATGAAGTGACCTAGAAAACTTACTTGAATGAACATAAAACTAGGTCTCATGAACAGAAAATGAGTCACAGCACCACTACCAAATTTTCATTGATCTTCTTCATCCTATTCTTGAGAGAATTGTCAATTTGGGCTTCTTCCCTTGATTTTGGATGTTGGGGATAATCTCTTTTCAGTTTAAGATTGAACTGGTGCTCCTGATTGCATCTGGAGAGAAGTATTGAGAGAGCATGCGAAGGATTCAATTCCGTTTACAGCTTTAGGAAGTTTTGACTTGATTGCTTACTTGGTTTTTCATTATGTGACACAATGAACTGTTATTGCAGACTCTTAAGAAGGAGATTAGCAAAGCACGTGTAAGACTAATGGAGCCTTTAATAAAGGGGCCTGCAGGCCTGGATTACCTGAGGAATGCCTTTGCTAACCGTTATGGATCTCCATGTGACGCCAATGCATCTCTGCCTTCAACATTGAGATGGATTTCATCTGTCTTGACTTGTAAAGATCAGGAGTGGGAAGAACACATAAGTTTAACATCCGCTTTGGAAGGCTCCGATAGTCCAGCGCAAGGGTGTCTTCCTTCCACCACTCTTCAAACTGGGGGAAGTATTCTGGTCAGGACATCTGGCGTTCAAACACCTATATCTACTTATGGTCGTACTACTACAGGTATAAATTAATAAAACTGAGTCTATATTGTTCCGATTAAGAAACGACATTTGCTGTTACAAAGTATTGAGGCAGATGCACTCTTGTCTGTTTAATCAGTCAGTCAGCAGCCAGAATGCAAAGGAGAAACAGTTGATCTAGTTGTGAGGGTTGGTTTGCTAAAGTTGGTTAGTCGAGTGTCTGGTCTGAGTCATGAAGATTTGCCAGAAACACTATTTCTTAATTTCCGAAGGCTGACATCTGTCCAAGCTCAGATTCAAAAGATTATTGTGATTTCAACAAGGTAGAAGATGCAGGATATGTTTGTCATAAGATCGTCACTGTTTTATGTGGGAGAAGAGAGTACTGGTTTGAATTCTATGTATTGTGTACTGATCTGTAAACTATTTTATTTGGAAATTGCAGCATTCTTATATGCCGCCAGATCCTCCTGAGCGAAAAAGTTGTAGCCAATCCTGTGGATATGGAAAACATAATATCAAAGCGTGCCAAACAACTCTTGGATCTATTGGACCGTGTTGAAGACGCCGATATTAAAGACATTGTAGAAGTGATTTGTGAATTGGATAAAGTTGGTGATGAAGTCAGCGATGCCGGGCAACTTCAAGCAAGGAAGGAAGTTGCTGCCAGGATGTTGGCCAAGAGCTTACAAGCTGGGGATGCTGTGTTTGAAAGAGTTATGAATGCGGTCTATTCAGCTTTACGAGGAGTTGTGCTCGGCGGAAGTGGGGTCCGGGGCAGAAAATTGGCGGAAATGGCTCTCCGGAAAGTTGGAGCTGCTGTCCTGTCTGAGAGGGTGGTGGAAGCTGCTGAAGTTTTGATTTTGGCAGCCACCATATCTGTTATGGTTCATGGGCAATGGTATAAATATCTGACTGATCGCATGTAATGTCATGTGGATGTCGAGGTACATTGACAATGAATGACTCGGATATGTTATAAAGCAATTTATATGTAAAGTTGTCACTTGGCAGCTCTGAGATCTTAGGTTTGGCAATGATAGGAATATAATTTGTTGGTCATACCATATAGAGTATTTTTAGTATGTGACGCACGCAATTTATAACAGAAAGCTATTGGTGATGCATCATATTGCTCTGATTGCCATAGTTGTATTTCCTTGTGTTTGATTAGTTCCACATCATCTGTGTGTTTTTTTTTTTGTTACATAATTGAGTTCATTAGAAAATTAGTTTAAGTGAAGCTATTTAAACTCAACTGAATTAAGAACTTCTCTAACTGCCATTTGCAGAAGCTCTACTTTTTTTGAAATCTGCAAAATAAAAATATATATAGTTTGAATTTAAGAAATATGTCAAATTTTATATTATTTATTTTTTAAACAAGTGAAGTTTTACCTAACAAATATTACTTATGAAAAATCGAACTCTTTTTAGTAATTATATATTTAGAAGTACTTTTATTTATGTCATCCTAATTTTTACTTTTGTAAACTGGCTTATTAAAAAATAAAGCATACAAATAAATGTCACTCCATCTAAAACATTTTTTGAGAAGATTTAATATTTTAAAATACAAGACACTTTGACAAAAATAAAATTCTATTAATATTGTTTTTTCAAAATTACCATTTCTATTGTATTCCCTCTCTTTTTAATATACTTTCATAAATGAAATATTAAATGATGGACAATTTTCGTTAATATTTTTGTTTTGAAAAAAATAAAGTTATAGAGTATGTTTAATGTGATTTATTGATATATGTAATTTTATCTAAAAATACCTTATAAATTAAGAGTGAGTATTCCATTGTCATAATTAACTTTTATTAAACTTTACCTTTTATTATTTTTTTATTAGAGACAATCCAGTTTGAGTTATAGTTAAACATTAAATATGAACAACATCTCTCTCAATGAATATTTATTAGGAAGAACTATCTCCTTTCACTTGATTAAAGCTTGTTGATATTAAAAATTCATTTTGCCAACGGGCTTTTGATAAATGGAGTTTTAGCAAACACTAAACTAAACATGTTAAAATGAAGTTTCCCAACAAGAGTGTTTACAAATTTAATTCAATTTGGTTTTGAAAAAAAATTAAATCAATTCAAATCAATTGATTCACTATAGTTAAATATCTATTCAATTTTTTTTTTTCTAATCAGTTTGGTTTGGTTTTTTAATAGTTTGGTTTAGGTTTAGATTAAGTTTGAACTTTTTTAATAAAATATTCTTCTTAATTACTAATATATATTTATATTTACTGATAATTTTTAACTATTAAATATTATTTACAATAAAAAATCTCTTGAGCACAAAAGAATATTTTTTAACAATTAATTAATATATTTAACTATTAAAAATCAATGTATTATCTTTAAAACACTTGATTACAACATTTAAAAAAAGTATCATATTATAAATAACATTTAACTAATTATAATTTATTTTTAATAATAATTTACAAATAACTAAATTTAAAAAAGGAAAAACTTTAACAAATGTATAAAAATATATATAATAAATACAATAATACTTGGTTTGGGTTGATTCAACTTTCTAAAAATAAAAACTTGAACCAAACCAAATTAATCAATTTTATTAAAAGAAAAATCCAATCAAACCTTATTTATAATCAGTTTTAATTGTTTCGTGTAGGTTTAGTTCAATTTGATTTAATGTGATTAGTTTGGATTGGTTTTAAACACCCTTAAATTATTTTATCTTCTCACGTATCTAAGTGTAATTAATTATTAAGAAAAAGGATAAATATGTACTTTCATGTAAAAATTTAGATATGCAAATTTTGTCTTTTTGGACTATTATAGTAGGGCGAGTATCAATCAATTCAATATCAAAATATGTAGAATCAATTAATTGAACAATACTAAAAATATGAATCGAACAAGTATCAAATTAAAATTTGATAATTCAATTTGATCGATTAATTTAATTTTTGATTTCATGTTGGATTATTTGGACTTAGATTAATTTTATTTTTTCTACTAAAATAGACAAGACTTATATATAAAATTAAGTTTGTAAAGTGATAGTAATTCATTTTAATGAAGGATTAAAGTTTCAACTTATTAAATTACATATTTACTTTTATTTAAATATAAAATTAAAAAATAAAATAATTAATAAATTAATAAATATATATATATATATATATTAATTAAATTAAATTTATTCGATTTTAAATCTTATTAATCCAAGTAAATCAATCAACCAAAATAATTTTTTTAAAAACCCGAATTGAACTGAAAAGCCTTTAACAAAAATTCAATTCGAAGTTCTCCAGGCACGAGCTGTTGTGGATATTGATTCCTAAGCTCCCTTGCGGCCTCTCCGGTAAGACAGGGAAGGGAAGAAGCGCGCAGCTCGATCGGTGTAGAGGAACTCACAGAATAGTTGACCTTTCATTGCCTAGCTTGCTTCTGCTTCACTTCCATTTTGAGTTTCTTCTGGCAATCTTTTGTTTTCGTGTTTCGCTTCTTATTCTCGCTTGGCCGAAGACACTATATTTCTGTTTGGGACTATAGTTCCTCATTTCTATGTAGGTTCCATTTTTTTCACCTGAACTCTGAATGTACTAAGCGTGTCGACTCGCATTTCTTCATGGGTTCTATCAGTTTTAATCCTTTCGATAATTGGTTCAGAAAGCCACCAAACCCCATTCCTCCCTTAAATCTTTTGAATTTCTCGGACTCGTTTTCTCTACGGACACCTCATTCAAGTTCTCCAAATTTTGCTGCCATTAGCGTCCCTAATTTCTTCAAAGGAAAGCCTAAAAAACCTAAGGATGAGCCCGGTTATTACAGGAAAATGGCTGACCAGTTCTTCTGGGAGTGTGAGAATTTACCCGATTATAGACATGCTCCTGAAGTTGAGAAGATCTTGAACGATGACCCCGTATTCGAAAAGAAAGAAAACCCTACTGAAGAGGAAATACGAGAGAATGAAAGGGTCTTGGAAGAGATAAGAAACAGCCCTGTCATGCAGTTCTTGGCCAGAGCAGAGGAAATTGCAGATAAGATGAATGAATTGGAGCTGAAAGAGAATGAAAACCCTTACCACAAAGAGGACCGGGAGCTCTGGAAGGCGCTTCCACATGTGCCTGGATTGGATGGGCGACCCATGCCAAGGAAGGCTCTGAAGACGAAGCAAGAGGCAGATGATAAGTTTTGGGATTTTGCAAGGCAGTTCTTCTTCGGCCTCTGGGGGTTTAAGCAGAGGCCGTATCCGCCGGGTCGGCCAATCGATGTTGCTCAAGCAATTGGGTATAAGAGGCTTGAGAAGCGATACTATGATTGTAAGTATGGGTGCTGGAAATGTGGTTCATTTCGTGAACAGGGATGATAGTGTGCATCTAGACGTATGTTGAAGAGCAAACTAACAGATTAGATAGTGAGAACAATAAACTTGTAAAGCTCTGAACCCCTAGTCAATTGACTAAGGATGCCTGAAAGAGTGACAACAACGAATTTGCGATGTTTGTGAACTACTGCATTTTTCAATTTTTCAAACCGAAAGCTAAATTTAGGGTTCCATGTGCTAGTTAACTTTGTTGTAATGTGTAAAGCTACAATAACTAGATTCAATGATATCTTAAATTACAGTGAGAGATATACTGTTTTTATTTGTTTATTTATATTTTGAGATGAGAGTTGAATGTGAGATATCTACCCTGCCTTAGTTGTTGGTTGAAGGTTTTGTGATATCACTCATAGCAATGGATGCAAGTAGGTCTCTCAATTTTCTTCTTTAAATTTATGCATGAGCTGGTTGCAAATGATGTTTTCATTTCTTTTGTTTCAGTTATCATGAGGAGTGGAGGTTGGTACTATAAGGATCGGTTGGGGCGTACACGGGGACCATGTGAGCTGATTACTCTTAAAACATCATGGGGTGCTGGGATAATTGATAAGAATACTTTCATTTGGGGTGAGGATATGGATGAATGGGCGCCTATCCACATGGTTTATGGCTTGGAACGTGCAATTGCTACATGGGAAGGTCTGTCAAATTTCAATTCATTGCTCCTTCTTACTTACTTTTGTTCTCTTCTGTGTCTTGCCGGGGAAGGGTATTATTCCAACAAAAGAAAATGCTCATAAACAGACTTCAATATTTTTATTGATATAGATTGCAATATAGAAATCCACGTGGTCAAATCTCAACTTTTGTGTTGGAGAAATTTGATTCTTGGTTTGGCATTTTTCAGTTAGACTAGGCGCTTCAGCAACAGCTTTTCTTCACAAACTGCAGAAAGGTATACCACCATGGGTTCCTCTTAAAGGATTTGAAAAGAAGACTTACAAGCAGCTCCAAGAAGAGGCTATAGAAAGCAAGAGACGTGATTTAGCAGTACTGGAAGCTAATGATGGTGTTTGGCCTGGAGTTAGAATTCCCAGTCATGCTCTATTTCTTTGGGCTAGTGGTTCAGAACTGACCACTATTTTGGAGCAGGATCACATGCCCAACAAATACATCCCCAAAGATCTTAGGTATGTATATGGTTAGTGCATTGCAAATATAAAATGACTGTTTTCTGTCATGGTGTATTCATGATTGAAGATCTTAGGCTACTGACTATTATTGCTATTATAGCTAATTTTGTGTTGGTTTCTTTCATGTGTGATAGGCAACAGTTGGCTAAAATTATTCCTGGGTTAAGGCCATGGGAAGTTCTAAGTATTGAACAAGCAATGGATCAAATAACATATAATGGCGAGTGGTACCGTGAACCTCTTGGTTCCTACAGTACTGGCCCTCCATACATCAGGCACTGGAATAAGGATGTTATGGTATGCATTTTGCACCTGAGCAGTATTTGGATACCTTTTCTTGCTATAGTATCTGTATTTTCCTTTTCCTTTCCTGTTGACCTTGTATTTATGACTGACCTGACCAGATTTGACTTTTTTTTCATATTATACTTCACCTGGTCCGTGAACCCCTTCTGTTATTGAACATATAAATGAGAGGAAGGCAATTCTAAACTCAGCCAGTCTCACTATCTTTAGAAATCTGCTTTCTTTTTCACCAAGACCTCAAACATGATGATAGTGTTAACCTCATTGATAGTAGCCCTTTGTTTAAACTATTACAGATTCAGAACGATGGCGCATTGAGAATAATTCTCTCTTTTGATCTAGTGGCATATTAATAACTGCGCAGTCCTGGTTTTTGTTTTCGATAAGAACTTGCTTCTTGTGGTGTCTAATGCCTAACATCACATTTTATTTGCTTTTCTTTTTTTGGCAGAGGTTGTACAAGTTATTTGACACTCTTAATACTCGGGTGTTTAAGAAAATGGAGAGGACGATTCCTGGCTTTGATAAAATAATGAATAAGGTGATGAATGAATATTATGATAGGCTTGCCAAATTGGAGGAGAAGAAAAAAGAAAAGAGAAGCGGCAAACTATAACATTTCCATCGTCTAAGTTCTGCAAATCAAACGCAAGACACTATTGTGTTTATGGTCACAGGTTCTGTGCACTTTCAAGCTCCAACAAAGTTGCATGGTCTCTTGTTGGACTTGTACTGACACAAGTAGTTAGTCAGTGATGAGTAATTTTTGTGCACTTTCATTCAAGGGACTCGAAAAAATTGCTTCTAAATTCTCTTGGAGCCTTCAATGTAATACATCTATGAATTTCTTCTAGTTTTTATCATTAATGTGTTTCTATATCTATTTAATTTCATTTTGCATGTATTCAAGTAATGATATGAACATCATAAAAATAAATTCTTGTTTTTTTTCATGATTTAATTCAAGAATTAACATTCAAATTTGTCCTGATACCGTACATTAAGCCTTGCGCTCGACAATTTTTTAATAATAATCTTCCATGTCCATATATTTTTTAATAAAAGGAACCATATATTAATAATAGAACACGTAACATAGACAATAATAGAAATGAAAAAAAGCTGACTAACCCTTTCATCATTCTTATGTCCATATATTGAAAATGGTTTCATTGTACGTCTGTTTCCTTTGGACATTTGATGTTTCCTCAAATTACCCACAAATACAGATATTGCAACTATGACTTGACAAACCCTATTATTACTGCTCAAAAGTAAAAACTCGCGAAAACAGTGTCACAAAAGTGATTTGACCTGGCTAGCCCGTTCGTTCTTTCACTTTTATGCTTTAGGAAATTAATTTTTTTTTTTGGGGAAACGAACTAGTCATGATTTGAATCTACAATTAAATGTGTATAATTACTAGGTTTTATAATCACACTTCTGCCAGCCAACAAATGTCACATGAGAAATGAGCCACATCATATATGTAAGCCAAACTAAAATTTACAAGAACTTCAATCCCATTCCCATACATATATACATGACCACGCAGGCGCACGGTAAATCAGAACAAAACGACGTACATGTAAAGTGTCATCAAATAAGACGACGAAACGCGCCTTGTGATTTTTCCGAAGCTAGTGCTACTTTATATACAACCTAAGGTAGAAAATCACGGGGATTGATCCAAGACATCCCATTTGTTTCTCTTACGCAACATCGACACTCAAAACATGGTGCTCATGCCTTCTTTACTGTGATCCTAATAATATGTACATAATGACTACGGTGAACCCCACAGGATGGTTGCTTCAGCTGCAGGGTGCAGACACACATTCAACTAGTGCTTCATCTTCTGTTCAAGCATGCTGTCCAAGAAAGGACTTTATCTCCTGATTACACGCCTTGCACGGCACAGCGCAATAATATGGATGATGGTCACAAATGTAGTCGCATAGAGATCAAACAAGTTCAGTATGTCTCGTTTAGCTGTAAAAGATCAATCACCAAATGTGTTACCTTGTGTGTTGAGGTAATGGTCAAATAAACATGAACAATCAAGTGGATTACGCCACGCACCGAATGGAAGAAATTCGAATGGGTTGAGCACATAAATCATGCCAAGTACCATCTGCAATAACAGCACATACCATTGAATACATAAAATCAAATCTTTAGTTATTCAAAAATTCAAAATCTCGTTGATAAAAGTGATTCAGAACAATAAGCAAATGATGCATAACACGTGATTTAATCTAACTCGGCACGATCCTTATACCACAAGTATGGGGTAAGTGACGGTTGTCCATGGGATCACTGACTTCAAACTTCCCATTAAAATATTATAAAAGATCGAAAAGGATACACCAATGAAACAGGTACCTCTAAATCAATTTACTCAAAGATTGAGAAGCAAAATACAAGCCATAGACCTCAGTAGATAACAGAGGAAAATTCACATCACGCTACATTTGCTACTTTACTGAGGAATAGATAGATGATTTTTTTAAGGAGGAATAGATGAAATTGAAGGGCATTCTTCTTCACAACATAATAGGGAAGAGGAAGAGGTCTACAAACTTACATTACAATTACTCACTGACAGCATAGCTACCATGTCACAATTTACAGGTCTATAAACTTTTTTTTTATGTTTTTGGGGTCAAGGACTCATGGAATTTCGCAACATACTACTGAACACCTAGAAAGGACATCATGAATAATAACATTAAACTTACCAGGTCACGCAGGGAAAAAGTTACAATGGTATGCTACGGTACACAAGAAATTTTCAGACAAATATACTGTTGAAATTTGCAGAGGAGAGACACAGACAAGTCTTCGCATTCTTAATTTGATTATATGCATAGTTCATGAATTCCAATCTAATCTTCAAGACATGGTGAAGTTGATCAAAGCAATGAACTGGAGGAACAGGGAGTAAAAACATGGAAGAAATAAAGGGGGAAAGCACAAATCCAGCCCCTCAAATAACTCATACTTAACTGCAAAGAGGCGCACTCTAGTCAAGTAAGAACTTGTTTTATCAGGATCCATCATATCTTGTAGAGCCATTCGAACAAGAAACGGAAGATCAAAAAGTTTCTGCAAAGAGTAAAAAAAGATTATAAGTGAATCTATAATTAAAGACCAACTAAGTGGAAAGTTTTTATACATATCTGCCTGTGTCATATGTTGACTAGTGAAAAGATTTTACAATCAGCAATCACCAACGCTAATAAACACCATTGAATGAGGATTTAAGTGTACAAGAGATTAAATCTTCAAGAATACAGATCTATATGGCAAAGTAACTTATATTACACATTCAACTCGCTCAAAGTAATATAGATGCGTTAAGCTACTTTGACTTGCAGGAGGTTGCCTGCATAGTTGACTTCCTATGCACATTAATTGCCATGTAAAATTCAGAAGGCAGGAAATGGTCATGTGAACAAGCCAACCCCTTCAATACTCACCGTTTGGGATAAATATTGGTTTCCATTTAATCATAATAATTTGACTAAATTTTCTACCAGTAACATTTTTCAAGAGAAATGCAGAACGTTATGAATGTTTGAACTACTTTTCATAAATAGTTTCATTCACAGCTGCAGAAGCACAAGAAAAATTAATATTGTGGTTGCCTACGATATTTTACACTTCAACATATTAAGTCAGTTGCCCTGAGCAAATTCCATGACCAGCTTTAAAGCATTGAAATCCTTATGAGGTTCAGACTCCAGATTAACGCATTTGCTAATAAGTGGTGGCATACTATACTAGCCTAATCATTGTAAATAAAATTTTTACTCATAAATTAAGAAAATCAACCATGTATAATTCATTCAGGCATAATTCTTCTTTTAATTTGACAACTCTTTCATTTATGTATGTGTGTAACTACAATTAGCTGGACAATTCCTTCAAATGGTTTTGAGGTTCCCAATTTCCTCATTGACTCTCCAATAGGTTACCGCTATGACTGTCTACCTTTTATTTTATTTTTTACTTCATCACAGATGAAACCTTGTTAAGAGATGAGAGTAGAGAAGTTGGAAGATAAGACAACCAAAGAAAACAAAATCAACAAATTGTCAAGAGAATCCATAATTCCCCTGAACCCTAATTTATAACACTCCCACATGCCTATTACCTCAAGCCACAATTAGAACACTAGTACTAGGAAGTAGGAACCCTATTTATGCCCAGTCAACAATGAATTATCAAGGCAAGTTAGTCGTTTTCCATATTTTATGGTATAGGACTTCCTGGTTAAAATAAGTAATCAATTCGGATAACAGGCCTTGAACATGAGGGTTATACTGTTTCAAATATATGCCTTCGAAAATTTTTTGTCACATTTTTACAATCTCACAAGAGGATTTATTATTAGCCGATCCTCTATCCTATCTGTCTTATGTAAATAAATGTTTACATATATCTTGTAATTAAAAAAAAAAATAGAGTAATGCAATTGCAAAAGATCATACACTACCTGCATGAGACCTTGCATGCCCCCAATGTGCAGCCTATTGTACCTTCTAACACTTTCCATTATTTTGTCCGATTCTGGGTTCTGGCCACAGTCAAATGCTGCTTGAAAGGGTGCCAGACTGGAAAAATGACGACAGCACATTGGGCATTTACATTGCTTCATTGCATCTCCATGTAGCCATACACGCAATATGCACTCTCCTTCACGAAGATAATTTTAGCATTATTCAATTTCGAGCCATACATATTACAGGTGGTTGACAGGAAATCTTACCAGAAGTCTATGAAACATCAACGAGGACACAGAGATAGAACGCAAGTTCAAAAAATAAAAAGGAAATCCTAAACATCGTGTAATACCGACTTTGGTCTCTTTAAAACTTCCCCCAAGAAGATAATATATAACACCAAAACGGAACCGATTGTATTTATTAAAATGTCATTTCTATTCCTTCTTTTTCTTCCTCTCATTCTACCCAACCTCAAAAACCAAACAACGAAACAATGCACGCCTATACCTGTTTACCATCAAGGAAAACGAAACATAGGTTCCTATCGTAAAATAATCAAATCATGAATTGAAGATTTCAACTCTCTCATGGTTAGCCCTTTGGCTTACGCGAAGACTGTTTCCATTTCAAGAAACCCAATGTTAAGTAAACCCTAGGCAACATCAATAACGATCATGCCATAAAACAACAAATAACGGACATTAAAGATACAAGTAGGGTGAAAAAAATGAAGGAAATGACTTTACCACAGAACCAGTGGGAGCAGGAGGTGCGGCATGGGAGGTTGAAATCGCCATGGCAGACAGGGCAGCAATCGTCACGAGGAGGAAGCTCCATTGCCGTATCCTTGGCCATCTCCTTCGGTTCGAATTCACCCTTTCACCACCGCCTCACCTGCACCTTCTTCTTCTTCGTCTTCTCCCTCCTCCTCTCACGTAGGCGCATATTTTTTATTGGGAATTTTTCTAAGATAAGGGACGCCTTTTTATAAACTCACCCAATTAATTTTTCACTCAAAAGAAGCCGAATCGCTTTGTTAATGTCAATTGATGACTTCAACTAACTCCACTAAATTTTTTTAACTGCAAAAGCTATATATAATGTATAATATACATTATCCCAAAGATCCTCTACATTATTTGAAAAATAAACTGTGCCTTTATCTGTATAACTGGAAAGCGTATTTCAATGTAATATAACTCTCTGTAGATGATAAATAAATTTTTCAGATGAATTTGTATAATATTTGTTATTTTTCATTGTAACTATGTCTATGCATGGACAAAATAACAGTGAACTTGTCAAAAAAAGACAACATAACAGTGAAAAATTGGCTTAAATATAAAACAAAGCATGTCCAAACGTGTGTGTGCGTATGTAGAGTTGTTAGATTGCAATGATGTGAAAGGGAAGGAAGAGTGAATATGTGCAGGGGTGTTTATGGGACAGGATATGAATCTTTTTTCATTGATATATTTTTTTAATGCATCATATCAAATTTGACTTCATAAATCATAAAATATATAGAAAACTGCATTAATTCTTAATTAATATGTATATACCATTAAAAATGTGTCTTGTATTAAAATTAAAATCTATGTAAAGCATGTATTCAAAGTTTAGTCTATAGATAAATCATTACAATTTAAATACTAGATGTATTAATTGACAGAGTTGATTGCAAACTTATCTCCAATATTCTCTTAGAAATTGGGATTCAAGATAATCTTTGTAGAATATCATGATTTGCATTAATACTACACTCACAGTCCTTTAGAATGGTGAGCAAACAAATAGCTTTAGTCTTTCCTGAGGCCTTTGACAAGGTGATTCCATGTCCCCTTAACTTTTCACACTGTGCATGGAAAAAATGAATCATAAATCTTTTGATGAAGTTGATGAAAAGAATTGGAGGCCAATAAACTGCTCAGTGAAATTGAAAAAGAATGTTGGAATTTTCTTTGGGGGACGATGAGAATAGTAAAAAGCTGCATTTACTGGCTTGGAACAAGGTGATTCAAGATAAACAGAATGGAGGACTGGGAATCAAGGATTTGAATACTCAAAACAAAGCATTTATGTTCAAACTTTCCTGGAAATTGTTGAATAATGATAAAGCCTTTTGTGTCCAAGTCCTTAGATCGATGTATAAATGTGGAAGGAATGCTATATCCATGGTAAAGAAAAAAGCCACAGTGCTTCTATGGCTTGGAGGAGAATTGTAAATAGCTGGGAAATTTTTAGCAAAGGTGTGAGGAAAATGATTGGAATGATAGAAACACCAAATTTTGCACTGATTTATGGGATTCTGGCAACCTTCCTTTGGCTCAACTTACCTTGGATAACACTTACAGTGCCAATGACAGAGTAGCTGATCTTGTTCTTAATTCTAGGGCTTGGGATGTTGAGAGAATGAGGGTCCGGCTGCCTAGCTATAATATAAACTATATTGCTCACACAAATGTCCTAAGAGATGAGAGAGGAGAGGATTTTTTTCATACGGAAAACATCTACAGATGGTAAATTTAATGTTTCTTCTATATCTAAATTTCTAATTGTAGGTACACCTTCAGTGGTAGGTGAACTTTGGAACAAAAATTTGGAGTTGGACCGGATCGAAAAAGATCAAAATTTACTTATGGTTGGTGGCCAAAAACAAACTACACACAGCTGAACTTAGAGTCAAAAGAGGACTACAACAATCTAATCTTTGTATGTTGGGGGTGTAACCGGAAGGAAGATGCTATGCACATGCTTAGAGACTGCACTCAAGCGAAGGGAAGATGGAAAAACATGGTCAAGGAAGAGGAGTGGAGCAGATTCAAAAGCTTACAGGGAGCAGAATGGATACTCTAGACATTAAACACTCCATTGGTAATCATAAAAATATATGGGCGCCTTGGGATGTCGTATTGGGTTATTTGTGTTGGGATACTTGGTGTATTAGATATAAAAAGCTATTCTCAATTGAGAATAATGAAGATGCTAACCAAAAAGTGGATACCATTTGGCGAGCGAGAAGTGATCTAGAGTTGATGCAGACTTCACCCAAGACACCTCTCAAGAAAGAAAGGAGTCATTCATGATGGTATAGACCAAGGGAGAACGCTATTAGATTGGAATCGGATGGTTCATACAAGGATGGTGTCTCCTGATGTGCTGGGGTGGTAAGAAATAGTAATGCTAACTGGCTTGTTGGTTTTCACTCTTGTGTAGGAAATTTCCCTCTTGCTATCACCAAAATTATTAGCATTATATCATGTTTCTTTAAGTTTTATGTCTAGAGAGGCAAATTGTTGTGCCCACTTGTTAGCTAGCTTTGCACCGAATATCATTGGGTCATTTTGCTCTTTTGATTAGCCCCCACTTATTGTAGAAAGGTGGCCAATGATGACAAGATAAAATCCTCAAATGTGTACTTAGTTTATCCTTGTTGGTTAATGCATCTCTTTTCAATCCGAAAAAAAAAAAAAATCTCCATAAATTACTTGGAAATATACTAGAACTACTTTGAGGAAGCTTATGATCCATTTTACAAAATTGAATATTGTTTTAAATTAAAAAATAAAAATTATTACAATATTAAATTTCTTTTGATATTGATTTTAATTAAAAATAGTTATTTCCTCCGTTTATAAATGTAAAATATTTTTAATCGAATCTCACCTCCCAATAAAATAATTATCTACTCTCAAACTAACCCTATCTTTTCATATTTATCTCTATTAAACATTTTATAATAACTATAAAGTCATTTATTAATACAGCACTTTAAAAAAAAGACAATAATTACACTGTAAAAAATCAAAAATGCCTTACATTTTTTAATATTCAACTTTTTAAAAAATGCCTTACATTTTTAAATGAAGTATAATATTAAATTTTATTTTTAAATTATTTTCAAATGAGTTTTCCAGCTCCAACTTATATATATATATATATATATGCACAATTGTATTTTCCTCTTTTATTACTCACCATCATAAATGTATTTTTATTAGAAAAAAATCATATACAAAACATGAGCACTAAATATGAATACTTATATCAATAAGAATTTAAATTTGAATTTATCAGATGAAAATTACCATTTCTTTACGGGACGCTAGTACAAAACTGTATTTTCTAAATTTCACGATGGAGCATTTACAAGTCGCCTCCCAATGTGCTAGCAAAACAAAACTAGATGTCGGATTCCATTAATAAATTAATTCAAATTGAAGCACCGAAATTTTCTTGCTAACAACATTGACATTTCCATAGAAGGCATATGCAAAAGAAAACGAACAAACAAAAGAAAATTATCATCTACATATACCCTCTCATGACTCATGATGTCCATTGCGGAAGGACTCTTCCTTCAGAATTCCTACGATTTATATCCAATGCAGTATTTTCTATGTTGTCTAAATCCAAATCTTCATCTAGGCAATCTTTAAAATAATCTTCTTCTGCAGAATCATAAACAACAGCTTTTATATTGTTTCTGTTTACCGTCCTTTTCTTTGAACGATCGTTACTTCTAGTGCAGTCATCATCATCCCCATTTACGTTTGGGTCCCCCTTTGACCCTCGTCTCCTTTTAGCAGAGTCATTGCTCTCGTTGCTCCAGCTGGAATTCTTGTCCAGCTTGTGATATTCCCTTATGGTATTTTCAATGGTTTCCAGTAACCGATCTCCATACTTGCTTATCTTTGCCCTGAATTAAACCAAAATGTCAATTAAATTTGTGCGATATTGGCATGGATGTTCAAACTAGAAACCTCTAGTACATTACCATGGCTAGTAACTTAAAAATAAAATAAAATCTATAAAAACCACAAATTGGCTGATTATAATACTCCAGTTGGATCATGATATAAGGCATTAATAACTACTTTATGATTCTCAAAGAGCTGGGTGAAATCTTAATCTCATAAAATTTTTTACATCTTTCTAATTATACTCATTGAATATCCTACGTAAGTGCCTCAATAATGACAATTGAAATTTCAATGCATCATTTTTTTTCAAAAATGATAGACATTGTAAAGGTATAATTGGAAAAACAATTATAAAAACCATCTCATACCTTGTATTTTGGACCAAGCAGGTCTAGAAGATATCTTCTATTGTAATCTAGAGGGAGGAAAGTCAGAATGGAACTCATTTAGTTATGCCTAAAGTAAACTTACTTGCTAATGCCATTGATCTCAAGGAGCTCTTCCTTTGTTCTCGGTAACTTTTTACTTATCTGCTGCAGCGTAGCATTTCTAAATCACAAGAGAAACATTGGCTTAGAAGAATTTTACTAAAGCAGGAAAAAAATTTACCATTCAGATTGAACATTTTCCATTGCAATGTTTGTAGTTGATAACCATGTGAAGAAAATCAATCCCAGACAGAATTACAGAAAAATCATACAAAAGGGAGAGAACGGAACTGTCTGGGAACTCACCCAAAAATGTGGTAAGCCATGACACCCTCTCCAGCTTCTTTAACAATAGCTGTCCTCAGCATCCGCAGAGCAGTGTACAGCTTAGCGGAAAGATTCTGAAGTAGACCGATATTATTAGAAACACCAGGCACTTGAAAATTTGATCAACCAGAACAGAAAAATATCTAGTACATACCAAGTCCACTTCAGTTTGAGGCGAGGCAGGAGTGTCATTTTGTGGAAAAGTCACCTTCCCGGATGTCACAGAGCCTTTAGCTGGTGTTACGCCTGAAGTTCCCAACTTTGCAGCTTTTCCCGAGGAAGGAAATCTGCAAGAAGTTGTGAATGCCGGTGAGAACTACAACAACAACTCCACCTATATTTATAGCCAGTCCCAATTTCCAAGCCCAGATAAAGGAAAAGAATTGTGTTAAGCCCTCGATAGCCCATTCAAAATTTTGTCAAATCTCACATGGATATGAATAATATAAACTGAAAGGAAAAAAAATCTAAAAGCCTTCTTGTGTAACAAATTTAGCTCAGGAAAATCAGATAGAATTCATGAAAG